AACACCAAAATGTTCTTACTGTCTTTTTTTATTGCTGCTTTCCAGAAAATGTAGAAGATCAGTCTTTTCCATCAGTGTTAGTTAGTTCTTTGAGTTCTTTCCTTTGGGCCATCATGTCTTGATTAATTGTAAGATTTTTTAGTAATTGTAGGATGTACCTCCAATTCAGACCCAGTCCTTCATATTGAAAAAATCTTCCACAATACGTGATAAACAATAGGACATTGGGCCTAATCCAATACATGGTAATAAAACACGAATAAAGAACTTATACTAAAAAAAAATATATATATATATAACTGAGGGGCAAAGCCCATACCTTCTACCCCTTGCTTTAGCATGGACTCAGCTGGTCAAGTTAAAGAGAGTAAATTAATATTGTGTGTCACAGTCCAAGTGGTTAAAATACAACTTACAGAAGTAGTTAATATTTTGAGGTCAGTCTTCCATTGAGTACATAAGGTGCATATCTGGTCTGTGAAAATTAGGTCAATGTAAGGAAGTAGTCAGTGTAGGGAGGTAGTCAACTATGGAGTTAAAACTGGAGTTAAAACAGATATTAGACCAAAATAAATGTCAGAGGAGTTACTTTACTGTTGATTTCACTAGTCTCATCTGGTGGACCTTATATCTTTTCTTTTTTTCAGAGTATAGCTGAAGTTTTTCGATGTTTCATTTGTATGGAGAAATTGCGGGATGCACGCCTGTGTCCTCATTGCTCCAAGCTTTGTTGTTTCAGCTGTATTAGGGTAAGTTGTATTTCTTTACATGCATTTAATATATACTGGATATATTGTAAGGCGTATCTAATTCCCTATTTCTTTTTTTTTTCTTTTGAGACAGAGCCTCACGCTGTCACCCTGGGTAGAGTGCTGTGGCATAACAGCTCACAGCAACCTCCAACTCCTGGGCTCAAGTGAGTCTCCTGCCTCTGCTTCCCAAGTGGCTGAGACTACAGGTACCTGTCACAACACCTGGCTATTTTTTTTTTGTTGTAGCCATCGTTGTTTGGCAGGCCTGGGCTGGATTCAAAACTGCCAGCTCAGGTGTATGTGGCTGGCGTCTTAGCTGCGTGAGCCACAGGCACCCAGCCTGTTTCCCTTTTTCTTGTACTACAGTTTTTGCCCTTAAAAAAAATGTCCTTTTTTTTTTTTTTTTTTTTTTCAGAGACAGAGTCTTAGTTTGTCCTCCCTCGGTAGAGTGCTGTGGTGTCACAGCTCACAGCAACCTCCAGCTCTTTGGCTTAGGTGATTCTCTTGCCTCAGCCTCTCAAGTAGCTGGGATGACAGGTGCCCACCACAGTGCCCAGCTATTTTTTGTTGCAGTTTGGCCAGGGCCGAGTTTGAACCCGCCACCCTCAGTATATGGGACTGGTGCCCTACTCACTGAGCCACAGGCACCGCCCTAAAAAAGTCTTTTAAATGAATGTTTCTGAATAGAGAGACCACCAATTTGTATTGCTTAGTACTGTGGAGATGAATAAACATTAAATAACTGGCACAAAATGATTAAAGATAGCTGGGTGTCTACAGAAATAAAGCCCCCTGTAATTTTAAAATTACATTATTATATTCACTATACATTTAACAAATACTTACAAGATGTTTGCCTGCGTTGTGATTGCTATTGAGGGATGCTAAAATGACAAAATGCCTGCCTTGAAAGAGCTTAAATTGG